AGAATATCCATTTGCTTTTAGTTCAAAAGTCCCTTTTCTTAAGAGGGATTAAATGCACTCAATTTCTACTTCATTAGGTACACCTAGCAAACACAGGGCTGTTTTATGTGTGCGCACTGGCAGCTTAAATCTGCATTGCTCAACGTAAATATGGTGGGGGAAATATTAGGGACGCCTCTTATGTATGTAAAACACTGCAGCCTCCAAAATGACCATTAAGTTGAATTAACATCTGTCTCACCTTCATTCAGATAGGATTCATTAGTTTTCCCAATAAACGGAGTGGATATTTAACTGTAGACCTCACATAAAAATTCGGTCCTGGTGAGCTGAGCTGGTGAAATGTAAGAAAAAGAATCTGTAAATGAGGATGTAATTATTCCAGTCATCCACTAGAGTGTGCTGACAGTCAATCAGGCATCCACTAGAAACCCTTCTGTTTCCAGTACCTTCACTAAAACCTTGTCTCAGTATCTCCAGCACCCAATCTAAACTTGAGTACCTCAGAAGAAGAAGACCTGTTAAAACCCAGCAGAATATTACTGCAGTGTCAGTAGTATCCATCCATGGAGCTTAGCACACACATACATGACACTGCTCTGTCTAAACACCAGATGAGGAAGTTTTCCATGGGCAATGTCAAACTAAAATTAATTGAATTGAGCTTGTTCAGACAAACAGATGAACAAGATTTCAGGATGTTGTTGTTGTCTGCTCAGTGGATTTTTGGGAACGATGTGGACGTGAGAAATCAGATGTTTCCTGCTCTCAGGATTGATTGGGGATTGAGCGGTTTACTAGTACTCTGATCCAATGGAAACGCACACACAGCACTGAGAAGACGAGTTCACCTCAGATCCCCCACAGCAAGATGTCTCTTGCCCCACACAGATGCACACCGTGTGCTGGTGCTTTACAGAGAAGCTGCGGTTAGCATTTCTCAATGTCTGCCTCCAATTACTGCCGACACACACTGTCTCTGTCTCTCCAACTTGCCAAAACTGACAGATGCTGATGGCCCGGGATGAATGAGTGCTCACTGCCAGATTGCTTAGTAATATCCCTGCCTATGGGCAAAGCTACATGAAATGGCAGGGAGGCTTGTCTGCTGACTTGCCCCATCAGTTTGTGCTGCAGGCACAGGAACCAGAAGTGAGAAGAAGATTGAAAACAACTTCAGCAAAGTGGTGACAAAAGCTCCTTTTTCTTTCCACGCTCTTATGTTCTGTTACTATATTTGGACCACACACATTTGTCTAAAAAGGTTAAAGGAATACTTTGTGGGAAATACACTATTAGCCCTTGATGAGAGTTCAATTGGAATATTGATAGCCAGCAGCCAGATTAGCTTAGCTTAGCATAAAGACTTGAAACAGAGGGAAAAGGCTAGCCTGGTTCTGTCCAAACTTTAACAAAATATGTCTAGCAGAACCTCTAACGTGTTATATTTGTATGTTTGTTTAAATTCTATTCTCAGCTTCAGGAAGAGCCAGGTCAGCTTTCTCCCCTTGTCACCACATGTTGTGCTAAGCTAAGCTAATCGGTTGCTGGCTGTAGCTTCAATTTTAGCACTCATATGCGAGTGGTATCAATCCTTTCATCAACTCTTGACAAGAAAGCGAATAAGCAAATAATTTCCCAAAATGTCAAAGTATTCTTCAAGTTTCAAATTTATGTGGCAGATGTGGAAAACTGCTGGCATATTAACAACTGCAAATGGTGAATTTCTCATGAATTTCATGGCACAAACAGACAAAATTAGAAACCTTACATTTTTGTTCACATTATAGAACACGTTGAAGTTTATTTTAAAAAATTTAAATGGTTCAAGGAATAGTTAACTGATAAGGTTACAGCCAGCTGCTAGTTAACACGTTACATCTACAGCGTTATGCAGGGGATGTGTTGAGTAAATCAGTGAGCTTTAAAGGTGCTAGACAGATTTTTTATCTTTGGACAGGGCCAGGCCAGCTGATTCCCCCTGTTTCCAGTCTCCCTGCTCCAAGCTAACCGGCTGCTGGCAGTGGCTTAATGTTTAGAGGACAGACATTAAGGGGTATCGGTCTCCGCAGCTCGCTAATTAACACATTATGTCATGTTTGTTTTTATCCTTTAAAAACCCTAAACTGTAAAAATAAATAAATAAATAAAAATAACAAGTTGCAATTTCACATGGGTGAAATGTGCCAGACTAATTATTGGGTGGGAGCAGTGACTTCCTGAAGCTGAAGTCTTCCTGAAGCTAGGCTAGCTGTTTCCCCCTGTTTCCAGTCTTAATGCTAAGCTAAGCTAAACGCCTGCTGGCTGTAGCTTTATATTCAGCAGACAGATTAGAGAGTGGTATCAATCTTCTCATTTAACTTGTGGCAAGCAAATAAATGTTGAACTATTCCTGTAGCTTTTCATATTTTTGTCTCGTGTCCTGCCTCAGTGTTGTGCATAAATCCATTTTTTGTTTCTGCATGCTGAGTGAATTTGTGTCTTTTGGTTTTCTTTCTCAGTTTTTTGTTTTGTGAATATTTGGTGTGTGTGCTGTACCGTACTACACATGGTACATTAAGCTCATTATCAGGTGCTTAATAGTCTAATGTCAGCTGCGCTTGTGGAGCTGTTTTGTTTAACTCACTAAGGTCTGTAAACTTGCAACTTACACTGATCTTATATCTTATCTAAATTGTGTCTAAATGTGGAGTTTCATTCTCCGAATTACACAGATATCAGGCTAAGGAACGTTTCTAGTAGCTGTTGCTTTTACTGAAGCTTGAATCCTCAAATAACCTCTCGCCTGAGGGCATGCCATTGGGTAATTTCGGGCTTTTCAGGCTTCCCTATTATTTAATTCCACGAAATGTTTTCCTGACTGAAAAAGAATAAGCCTATCATTTCCTACGTATTTGTAGCCCCGAGAAGTATCCGTCCACACTGGGTTTGACAGTTTATTAATTCCGCCTCCATATGAAACGTGTCATTTGTACATGACAGGTTTAGACTGTGTGAGGGCCGTATAAGGTGAGCCGCCTTCTGCATATCCCCGGGGAAGTGATGGGATATGTTTTCTCTCATTTCAGCAATAAGCTTGAAGTAGTATCTAATGAAAAGTTTGCATACATCGGATGAGATTTTTACAGTCAGGTTGTGCAGACAGTGATACAGATGAGAGAACTAGAAGAATGTTAGGTTTGAAGTCAGTTCATAAATCACAGGAAAGCCCCAGACATATAGTAGTAAATAGTAAATTCTTGGTCAAATAAGCTGATATAGTTAATTATACATGGAGAATTTGTGCAGTTGTTTGTCATGGAGCATATGCGTATATAATCCTTCTTACAGGATTGAGACCTACAGCCCTGGAAGCTCGGCAAGCTTGAGATAAACAGACTTTATTTATTTGCTTGTCAGGCACACACACACATACACTAAAATCACCATGTCTGCATCGAGAACAAATAATCTCCCGCACAAACACTTAGACACAGCAGGAGTCCACAGTTATTGCACTGGAAGGCGGGCTAATAGCTCCCCTGTCCTCAGCTGAACTGTGGAGGAAACCAGTCCAAGTAGTTTACACAGGAAAGGAATGAGCAGAGCAAATTATAATAACACCTTCATTCATTAAATGCTCTGCCAACACACACGCCCACCGTGCAGCACATCACCTGATTTTCAAAGTCTGTTTTTATTTTTTTGTATAAAATTACACTGTCCTCATCTCACCTCTCCTGGCCTGCGAGTCAGATTGGAAAAGGGGTGTATTCAAAGCTAGTTGTGTTTTCTATTTTAAGTCCTAGGTATGAAGCCAAACTCATAAATGAAAACTTGGGAGCGCTGGGTGATAACCTGTTATAATGTTGCAATTACGCTTTTCTTGTCAATATAATGTTCTACTGTTTTTTTTCTGGAACTTGTGCATCTTGAGAATGAGTCTGAAAAGTTTCCATAAATCCACACAAAGTGGTTGTATTGACTAATCCTGTGTACAAAGACATGCTTTGTAGAATGTAGAGCATGTACACTGTTAGGTTTAAGTCCACGGCTGAATGTTGGCGAAAGAATGGAAATTGCTGTGCAGCGGCAGTCACGTATCACAGGTCATGTGTAGTCACTGTTGAGAAAGGAGAAACAATTAATTAACTCTAAACATTTACTGTATATGTACATTTGTTTATTTAGTCAGACTTTTAATTAACAGTACTTCAAATATTTTACACAGTACAGCAAGTATTTTAGTTAGATTTAATTTGATTAGATTTATTTTTACAATGCACCAAACTTAGGAGAATAAATGTATTTGTATTTATTTATTTGAACATTTTTCATTTTATATTATCATGTCAAACTTATCTTACAAAATATTTGTGCATTAGGTATTGTTGATCACAGCTTTCTTTCTTTATGACTAATCAGTTAGAGACCATGAATGTGAAAGAGTTTCACTGACATTATTATAATATGAAATAAGTTATTACATTCTAATATTAGGAGAAAACATTAATCCCCTGTTTGTTAAGCACTCAAACTTTAAAAGAGATCACATCTAAATAGAATTTCTCCACAAAACTTACAGCACCTACAGAGGCTGATCCTGGAACCCTTGAAGTGTTTATTACAGGCATATTTTGTTGCAGCAAAAACAGATGTTTTTTAATTATGAGAATCAAACATTTAAGGAAATCATCTCTATTATTACTGAAAAGTGTCTATTCTTTCAACAGGTAAGTCAAGATAAAATTGAGTTACATATTTGCAAATCAAAAATAAGAGTAGTGTGCTGTCATAGTCAGTATATAGCTTATTAAAACCAAAGTACAATTAACGTGTGCAGGCGTACTGCATCATTTGTAATTATTGCAACTAGAAAGCAAAAGCATACAGTGCAGCACATAGGCTGTTGAATTCTATGTGTGTTAGCTGAACATGTGGTTTTAGTTTGTACGATCGTTAAATAATATGTCTAAGTTACAAATTGCCTTTGTGTCTCTTCTCTCCGTGCGTCCTCACGCACAGTGCGCTCTGGCGCCGCTGGAACCCGCAAAGGGTTAAACGGGGTTACCAGCAATCCTTTTAACAGGCAGGTGCCCCGCCAGTCCCAGCCCAAAGCTTACCACTGACTTTTTTTAAACGGTTCTTCCAACATCTCAAGAGCAACTCAAAACTGTCATGTGGCGAGTAACGTGGCGAGTGATGTTAACGGTGGTGGTAGTATAAATAGAGCATCATCGCTGCAGAAGTGGAATACCAAACTGGATCAATCAGCTGACACACATCGTCCTGACTCGCAGACTCACACACGTGTGATGCGCTTTTGAATTGTGTCGTCGTTTTACCTACTTTTATATTCAGAGAAGTGGAGTTTGCTTCCTGCTGAATCACAGAAATCTACAAGTAAAAAAACAAACAAACAAACAAAAAAAGTTCACCACTTGTTGAGTTGTGTACCGCTCTGGAGATGTGGTGGATGCTGTTTCCACGCTGGATCTGGTTCCTGGCGTGTGTGTCAGTGTGGATGGAGCACGAGGTCGGAGTTTTGCCTCATATCACCTATTCACACGCGGGGATCTGTCCTAATGACATGAACCCCAACCTGTGGGTGGATGCAATGAGCACCTGCACAAGAGAGTGTGAATCTGATCAGGTGAGTAACCTTTTAGAATTAAGTATTTTTAACCACATGACAGTTTTTAAATGTTTAATTCGTTATTTTGCATGCAGTTTGTGTATTATATCAATCATATCTGATCTGTTTTTATCCACTTGCATCTCTGAAATTTGTCAGTTAGCCTATAATTAATCTCTTTTCTGTGTTCTAATTGTATACATTCGGACTGTATGAAAATGTCTTCCAGATGCACACAGCCTCCTGCATCTGTAATTTCTCCTTTCTCCTCTTTCAGGAGTGTGAGTCTTTTGAGAAGTGTTGCCAAAATGTGTGTGGGAATCGGAGTTGTGTGGCAGCCCGTTACGTGGACGGCAAAAAAGGCCCCATGGGAATGCCCAAAGAAGCCACTTGCGCCAGTTTTATGTGCACCCAGCAGGGGTCTGAGTGTGACATCTGGGACGGCCAGCCGGTGTGTAAGTGCAGGGACCGCTGCGAGAGGGAGCCGCACTTCACCTGCGCTTCCGACGGCATGACCTACTACAACAAGTGCTACATGGATGCTGAGGCGTGCTCTAAGGGCATCACCCTGTCTGTCGTCACCTGCCGATTCCACCTCACCTGGCCCAACACTAGCCCCTCGCTGCCGCAGGCGACCACTCTTCGCCCTACCACTGCTCCACTTCAGGCAACTATCCCACCTCCCACTGAGCCTCAGCCACCCGTCGTGGTCAGCAGCCCCGCTCACCAGACTGTAAACGTGGGTGACACAGCCAGCTTCCTGTGTGATGTGACAGGTCGCCCCCAGCCCGAGATCACCTGGGAGAAGCAGCTGCCAGAGGAGGTGGAGAGGGTAGTCATGAGGCCTAATCATGTGCGAGGGAATATGGTGGTCACTAACATAGGTCAGCTGGTCATCTACAACGCCCAGCCGCATGATTCAGGAGTCTACACCTGCACTGCTCAGAACCCATCTGGCTCCGTGCAGGCCAACCACCCGCTCACTGTGCTGCCCACAGAGCCACCCAAGACCCCCGAGGCCAAGAACGTGACGCGCTGCCTGCCCAAGGAGTGTCTGAAACCCCCTGATAACCCTGAAGATTGTGGGAGCGAGCTGGAGAAAGTCAGCTGGTACTATGAGCTCAAGACCAACAACTGCTTCTCCTTCACCCACTGCCACAGCAACAACAGCCAGCAGCCCAGGAAGGTGTTCGAGACATACGAGGAGTGCATGCAGTGCTGCGGCCCCGAGTTGTCAGGCCCCTGTGGGCTCCCCAGCCTGCAGGGACCCTGTAAGGCCTACGAGCCACGCTGGGCTTACAGCAGCACCCTGCGGCAGTGTCAGTCCTTCATCTACGGTGGATGTGAGGGCAACGACAACAACTTTGAATCTAAAGAAGCCTGCGAGGAGATGTGCCCCTACCCGAAAAACCACCACTGCAAGGCCTGCAAGCCAAGAGGCAAGATGGTGACGAGCTTCTGCCGGAGCGACTTCGTCATCCTGGGGCGCATGACAGAGCTGACGGAGGAGAAGGACTCAGGCCATGCCCTTGTGGCTGTGGATGAGATCCTCAAGGATGAGAAGATGGGTTTACGCTTCTTTGGCAAGGAGCCTCTTGAGGTCACCTTCCTCAACATGGACTGGAACTGCCCGTGCCCAAACATCACGGCCGCCGCCGCTGAGGGACAGGTCATCATTATGGGAAACGCGAACGACGGCATGGCTGTCCTTCAGCCGGAGAGCTATGTCGGTGCGTCCAGCCCTCGCCGTGTGCGAAAGCTGAGAGAGGTCATCTCCAAGAACACGTGTGACATTCTCAAAGCGATCACCAACAGCCCTCAATAGGGTTTGGGGTCAGGGATATAATCTCTACATAAAGTTTAGAGTTAGAAAACCTCTCTTGACTCAACAGGCTGTTACATTCTGAACATTTATTACAGGAAATTTTGAATTTTGGGACCATTCTTGCTAAATTTAATGGGTTTCTTTCTGTTTTTGAAAGTTGTCAGGAGCTCCTGATGGGGAACCCTGTCATGTGAAATTTTGTATTTCCTTTTGTGTGGTCTGTTCACAGCAGAGCTTTTCTGTTATGGTGCGGTCATTGGTGTTGTTGATTGAAATACCATGAGACATCCATCATGATCCTCTTGTTACCCCAGACTGCGTCCTCCCTCATGCCCTCTTTTGCCTCCAGCAGAAATGGAGGTTGCAGACTTGCATGAAAGCACAAAACAGACACAATTGAGTTAAATTTTTTATGTATGTAATTTAGCTATTACAAGACGTTTGATTCTTTTATTTGTTAGCCGTATTTCCACCCGGCACCTTCATGCATTGAACCCATATTTCTCTGTTTTCATGTTGTATAAATACATCCACAAACCTGTGCAAGGTACTGCATATACTACAAGGTGGTGGTTCATCCAAATGAACGAGTTGTAATATATTTTATTAACCAATGCATTTTCTCACAATGAATCATTTATTTTTTATCTACTTGCTCTTACTTTTTGGCTATTTATTATCATTTAAGCTTTTCTTTTGTCTTGTTTAAGTGGCATTTTTTTATCACTTTGTGTAATGTTGTGAAGAAAATAAAGATTTTGGGGATTTTCTTCGTCTCCTTTTACTGATTTCTGTTCATATCTATGTAATATAGAATTATATTTTAATAATAGGGCAGATTGAATGGTTTTCTCTTTTGAAGGTTATAGAGCAGGGTACACAGTCACCATGTGACAAAATTAAGTGAAATTTTAGCTTGCTTTTGGTACCTCTGCACCTATAGAACAGAGAACAGCTGCTCCGTGTACCTGTGTGGTTACTCTGACAGGTTGTGATTAAAGAGACTTAGGAATAGCATATCCCCAACCCAACCTGATCCCCCCTCCATCCTAAACAGAACCTATCCATTCTAAAGACCCCTGTGGCTTTGTAAAAACGTCACCTATTCTGCTTTGCCTCCATGATCCAGTCTAATTGGGTAAGGAGCCCAAGCTGTAAACCACAGATCCACTCCCATACTAGAGTTATGTGTTTCATGCTGTGCCAGCAGGCGTCTCTGGGTTACTAGCAACAGGCCTTGGTGGGCTTCGACGAGGGTGTTCTACTTCCCAGATGAGATTCTGTTTCTCCCATCCAGAGCGGCAAAGGAGGCGGGAGATCAGCCCATGTACGATGTTCCTTTACTGGCAAAACCACCAGGGAGCTCAGACCTGCACTTCAGCAGCTGTTGAGACTCCAGAGCAAGGAAATATTACATCTGCAGCACCTTGGATCACATCAGAAAGCAATACAAACAAAGTTTATATCAGCAACACAAACCAACCAACAGTTCTGTGTCGATACACAGTATTTATAACAGACTGTTCATCTGAAAAACCACACACTTCTTGCAACATTGTTTAAAAAATAGAAATCATTAAGAAATGAGGGAAAGAGATGCAACAAAGAAGTCAGATAGATGGTTTATGGTTTGGGAACCACAGGATTAGGGTCTCTTTAAACCACAGACTGGTGCTTATGGAATAACTTTTGGTTTCTTAATGGTTATTGGTGGTACATATGTGCACACTATTGTCCCTCTAATGTAGCTTGGACTGAGTCCAACTGGTGAATTTTATAGCATTCACAGGTGCAACCTACAGTTCAGCTGAGGGAACCGGTTCAGCTATCAAACTAGAACCCCTTAAAACAACCTCAAATGCCATCAATTATTTTTCTTCTCCTCTGATTTTCCAGCCTATGTCCATTAAAAAAAAAAAACACCTTTAACCACTTCAATGCGAAGTCTGGGGTCCACAAAAGCACAATTTATTATCAATTAAAATTCAGCATATTCGAAACATGTGTGATCCTTATTTTTCAAGCACTTTAATGCTTTTCTAATTTGAGTTGGGCCAAGTAAAAAGGTACAAGAGTTATGCTTTGATATGCTGTACAGAATTTTTGCTCTCATTTTTTTTTTCCTCTCCTTCCTCTCAGGCTTTGTTGATTTGATGGGGTCATTGCGTTCGCAAGCTCAGTTCACACAAGGCAGGAATAGTCAGTGTGGTCCATGCGAAAGCTCAGATGTAGACCTGCATCAGGTAGAAAGGACGCAGCAGACAGCAGAGTCCGGGACAGTAGAGATGGTTACACTCGGTGTGTATTTCTATGTGGTGCCTCCAGGTTGTGTATCCAGAGGAGATCGGACAGTAGCACCTGTAGAACAGATCAGCTAGCTGGGTGGTTTAAGACCTTTGATTCATGACCTGCATCTGTTATGGCCATATCATTTCGAACGTCTATTGAAAAGATACAGTAGCCACTCACACGCATTGACTGGAGATGAACAGGATGCCATGGCAGTATATCATCCTGGGGCAGCAGCAGCTGAAAGGTTTGAAGTGGGTAGCTGGTGGCTGCTCTAAGGCTGGGAGGTTCAGGTCTTTTATTCTGGATGGGAAAATGCTGTCACTTCCATGAATCACATGCAGAGGTGGCCTAAACCCCTGCTTTTTAATACAGACTCTCTGACTTTCTTTCTCTGAAAAGGCAATCAGTGCATGATTTAGTTAAAGCCAGGAAAACATTAATATAAAAGCACTAATCAAGTCATCTTTTTCTTTAAAGAAAAGGAAAAAAATTACCAATATGCTTAAATAGTTTTACTTAGTTCTGATAAAGTCAAATTGTTTCATGGATTATCTCATTGTCACAAATGACATGCTCACTTCTGGCAGATTACTTGGAGACTCAATACTAAACTAAATTTCATCTGCAGTGTTGGCTCACTTGCATGTTATTGACATATTCCGCACTTACTGAAAGTTGACAAAACTGAAGCTGTCCTGATGCCTTTTGTTTGGTTTTCACAAAAGAAATAGGAAATGTATCAATTAGGTCAGTTTGAGCTGGGGGCCTTTTTCCCATTTAAATCCTTTTATACAGTCTTAAACATTTATGGAATATAAAGCTAGTATATGCCACAATAAACCTGATGTCATTAGTGCAGAGCAGTTTATTTGCCCCTGTTCCTGCAGTGCAGGTAACGTGGATCTGTATTCAAGTAGGTTGTGTGAGCCACAGCATCCTCTGGTGGACTGAAGCCTGTCTACATAGAGCTGTTTGATTCCGCTATTTAGCACAGTCCAGACAAGACAGATTCACTGACATGAGTTTGGAAATATTTAGTAAGCATCAGCTAAAGTCTTGTTAGATTATGCTACATAGGGTTGTGAACTGTTGTGTAGGTGTACTGTGAGAACAAATGCGATCAAGACTGGTGCTGCCTGCAAATGCTGCAGTCCCAAAAGCCTGTTTTATCGTCAGCTATTTTTTTATCTATGGTCCTGCAGCAATATAATACATATATGTATGTTTGGAATTTATCAGTAATTAATTTAGCTTCATTGCTTAAAATATTGCATACACATATAATATATACACGCATCTTCATTCTACCATTGCAGAACTGTAGGCTGTTCGCTTAAAAAAACTATAAAACAAGCAATCAACTTGAAAAAAAACTTACTTTGGTCCAGGGTCCATTCTGAAATTATTTCTTACCAAGAAAACATAAAGCAGCAAATAAATATTGTATATAAACATTAAATAAAATTACTATGTATAAGGTGAAAGGTGTCACAAACCAAAAGAGAATAATCACAAACTCTGCAGTTTCCCTCAACTGTACAGTACTGTAACAGTAGCTCTGATAAATCCACTTTACAGGGCTCGGCACCAAACAGCTTCTACCTGGGTCTGGTGGAGGAAACACAACTCCAGACAAATGCTATTGCTGCTCTGTGCCTGCTGGATGTGGAAGCAATTGCCATAAAACATATAGCCCGTTCAGCTACCCTAAAGTGACCAAAAATGTGAAAAATTGGACTTGAAGGAAACACGACATTGGGTTGATTGAGAGTTTCAGAGATCTCATTTAAAACAAATCTGTAATATGTGATTCCCACTTGTGATCTTACCTTCACCCTCACTTTCTAGCTGGCCTGCCTCTCAACAAGAAAGCCGGTTTGAACGGTGGCTCCCACACAAGTAGGAGTTACAGACACTGCCTAGTGGGACTTTCCTAGTGCATGCTGGGATATGACCCTCTTGTGACCCCATATAAGGACAAGCTGGCAAAAAAATAATAAATGAAATGTTTGTATGTCTCAACCTCAACGGATCAACCGACGCAGTAAACTTTCAGCTCCATTAGATGGCAGCATAAGCCCACGTGACGTGTCTAACAAGCCCTACTGACAGTGACACCGGACTGTGCGCAACATGACTTCACTTCATAGCTGTTTATGTATTTTCTCATAGACTCATGGAGCATTTAGACAACTACAGAGCCCAATGTTCTGTTGTCAGAACCTTGTTACCCGAAATGCAGGAACATGTTCAGGAAAAGTAGTTCTGGTGCTGTTTTACTGTGCTCTGCTGGAAAAGTGCTGTTATCTAAGGCCCAGATAATTAACCATGTAATGAAGACAATAAAGGGGGATATTCAAGTGGACTGCAAGCCTCTGTCTCCCATCCAGCTGCTAGATTATGCTTTTTACAACCTCATGCTGTAAACCAGGTACTGAACCAGCGGTCCCATCAGTTCCACTGCTGCTGCTGTCCTTATGTAATGAAACGGCTTATATATAACCACACACACATACACACAATGCACACTCAGCAAGTTTCACAGCTCGGAGCAAAACGGTGACCGACTGGTAGAAAATGAGGGGAGAAAGTGCATCCTCCATTTATTTTCATGTCATGTGGAGACGAGATAGCAGAGTGACACTTTCAGAAGCAGTTTGCCGTCCCTGATTGACTGCTCCTGAATATTTCATTGGTGTCATCATGAGTTTGTTTTTGTTTTTCATGCATAATGAGATCTTATGTGGATTGTGTGGCATGAAAATCCTCAGATCAGTAAACATCAGCAAAGATTATATGACAGCGTCGTGTATTTCACATTAAACATTTAAATCAGCTGAATGTCATGTGCTGGATTACTGAAGGTATAAGAAGGGTGTGTGTAAAGACCATGTAAACAGAGAAAGGGTATGCACATTTGTGTACAGATGGTCAAGGGTATAAGCACAGTAAATTAGAACTTTATCCCTGGAAATGCCCATGCCAGCTGTCTACTGAAGGTGAAGAGGAGAACTACAATTTCCTTGTTTGACATTTAATTTTGGCGTTAAAGTAACATGACCGAACATTGAATTTCCCCCCCTTAAATTCCACTTGAGAAGCTTTAATGAACTGGTCCAACATTTTGGGAAGCGCTTATTTATTTAATTTCCTTCAGACGGTGTGAGATGTGGAGCTGGACTTAGAACATGTTTAGCCTAGCTTACCAAGAAAAACTGGAAGCAGGGGAAATGGCTAGCTTAATGCTGTCCAAAGAGAAGATGTAGGCCTACCAGTCCCTCTAAAGCTCACAAATGAAAATGTCATTAAAAAGTTCCAACCCAAAACTCACCAAAATTGTCATTGTTATTTCTGTTCATGTACGGGTTAAACAAACAAAATGTCAGGGCCAGCTCTTTCTTCTCTCCCTCGACTCCAGTCTTCATCCCTAGCTAAGCTAAACATGTCCCGACTCCAGCCTTGTAGATGATGCATAGAAATTAGATATATCTTCTTCTCAACCCCTCTAATGTTCACTAATAAATATGGACCAATATTTTAAATTTGT